AAAAAAAAAAAAAAAAAAAAAAAAAATGCACAATTGTCACAAATCGGAATCATTCACCTTAATTTAATACGCTTTGAATTAATAAGCGAGAAGCGAAACTTGTCCATGTAATCCTGATGACTATGTGAAATTGTCTTCTGGATTGCGAGTCGCTGAGTTGTGAATTATATTCGTGATATATTAACCGAGATGTAAATTATACCAGTGACCATTCCCGAGTTAACAATAACATCCGTCTGACGGATATGCAAATTCTCATTGTTTATGTGCGCACTCACGACCTCATTGTGACCTATTCGAATTATCATCCGAATTTTATCTGTCTTCTAGCTTCTGGGAAAGACTGCGCGCGCGTTTTCAAGTTCGCACAGCCGCATGATAATCGCGTTCACATGAGCAAAGTGCACGGAAAGCGCGCGAGAAACGAGCGTAATCCGCGCGCGTCTGAATGTGTCAATATTGAAGGTTAATAACGCGTTCCTTCGCGCACAGCGACGGCGGCGGTGTTTTTCTAACTTTACGCAACTCGTCCGTGGTAACTGGCAAATTGGTTTACCAGCCCCGTCGACTTTACATAAACCGGGAAATGAGTTCGCGGAGCGTTAACGAATTACCTCCGACTTATCCCGCTCGCAGACGCAATATTCGCCCCTATTGAAGGCGGGAATTAATTTAATGCTCCTCTCGCGCTGCATTGTATCAGCATATTGGCAATTACAGCATCTGGAGTACAAAATACGTCCTTTGACTGACCGGGAATGAACGGACCGGCAATGTCGTTGCACGACCAAGTGTGTAAAAACGCATTGCTGGTAGACAGACAATGGGAGCGAATGAAATGTGTAAGCGCGGGCAATTTTCTCCCGGTAACTCTCGGGAGGCATAACATTGTGCGTCGTAGTTGTATTAGTCGCGGTCGAAAAATCGCCGGCGCCGCCATTCACGGCCGACGCGGTTCACGGTGGTCGCGCGGTTTAGGGCGGCGAATGTAATTTCGCTCGTTACAGGCCAAATGAGCTATACGTAGCCACGTGTATCGCCGCGCGCACTAAGCGCAACGGGCATTACGACGATTACGTTATACATGCAATTTTCGTTGATATGTTGCAGCGCACATCAATCACGTGCGGAAGATCGCCGGGGTGGATCACGTCGGTATCGGAGCTGGGTACGACGGGATCAATTTGTGAGTATTGCTTGAACATATTCTCCCCAATCGGTGTATTGTTCATTGGACTGTGTTATAGTTTCTAAAATAATTTCCAGAAAAAACTAGGTCACTAGCCAAAAACTCGCCAGTTTGTATTATTCAGAATTTTTAGATAGAATTGTTAGATAGAATTTGTTCAGCCAACAGGAAAATATTGGTTTTTTGGCTACTTATTGGCTAGAAAATAGGCAAGAAGAAGTGGTAAATAAATGCTGGGCACTTTTTCTGTCTAATAAAAACGCGGAAAATACTGACACACACATACAATGTTTTTTTGTCAGTTACTGGTCAGAAACTGGACAAAAAAAAATTATGGTCAGAAACTGGACAAAAGTAATTAAAAATACACAAAGTTACAACCACTTGAATAATTAATGAATTTGCATGTAAAAAGACTCTACCTTTTGAAACACGAGTTTTGTGTTATTTTTATATGAATTATATATATATATATATATATATATATATATATATATATATATATATATGTGTGTTACTCCTAAACCCTTTGACCGATCTGGACCAAATTTTGCATAATTACTTTCTAGCAAAAAAATATAGGTTACCGTGTGAAACCTGCAAATTTCACCTGCTGCCCTTAATTTCATCCCCTTAATATTTTGTAACAGCGGAGCAATGCCGGCTAGTTTAAACTAGTGAAATATGTTTTAAAATATAGAATCGCGAGCGATGAAAATTTTTTAACAAATTTTGTACAAAGAAAGTTTTGTTAGAAACTGACCAAAAACTGAGTTTTATTATTCAATTACTGGCAAAGCAAACAACGTCTAAACTGACCAAAAACCAGTCAGTACACAAAATTCCTGACCAATTACTTCATTCTTTCTACTTGGATTATATAAGTGGTTCGGTTATAAAAATTACACTGCGTTCAGTAAGATCTCGCTGAAAAATTCAGTTGATAGTAGCGACTGTTTTCATTGTGATGTATTTTACAAATACGAACAATGAACTCGTTAATTCCTATCGCAACAAACACAAAAAGTTGTATTTCGCACAGCAAATTTGTATACTACAGATTTTGCAGTGAAATCTTACTTTTATTGATCAAAGTGAGACAAATAAGTAAATTAGTGAGACAAATAAGTAAAAATATTCTCACTAGAAATCTGCAAATTAATGCAATCACTGATTATCGGTGAAATACTCCTTTTACTGACTCATTTTAAGAGAGTTGAGGGAACCGGTTACATGTTACGAAATTAATGTGACGATGATAGTGACACACGTGTCAGTAACATTTTTTCTGCCATTGAATGTCCCTCGCGTGTTCCTAATCGCAAATCTTGTTTTTCACGCAATTTAAGACTTTAATTTAATCAAGCAGTGATTGCTTCGTATTTCACTATTAAGAGAAACAAACACGACGGCTCTCTTACCGCACGGAAGTGTCGCGAACTCGGAGGCGCGTTTCCCGTCGCCAACCGGACTGATTGCGAACTGTTGGTACGTGGTACGCGAGCGTGGAGAAGTTTTCGGCTGCCTTTGGATGTAGGTCGGGGTGTGAATCAATACGCACGGAACCACCGATCATACTCGCGAGACACGGAGACATGGGGAGACGGTTAAAGTTCTCCTCTGGCGAAATTTATGAAGGATATTAGTGGTTCGACTTCAAGTATCATCAAATATGCATACCTCGTTACGTCTCGCACGAAGTTAAAAAGCGAAATTGGAACAGCAAAAAACGTACGAGAGGAAGTTGAGAGTTCGAGAGAAAGCAGTCAAAATTTCAATTTTACTTTCAACTTCAGTACTTAACGTCATACTCCCAAGCCTATATCAACATCTTTAGATTCTGTACAACTTGCAGTTTTGCGACAAAAGTCCTCTTTAGAACCTACAAGTGACATTTTGTGCGTTTTCTGCCATTTAGAGGCACTAAGTAGAATTTCAGTTTCCGCATGTCTATGAAATATACACTGATCCTTCAAAATATATAGATGTTAAAAAATCCAAGTCGAAAATAGAGCGAAAATCTCGGGCGAGTCAACACGACTTCATAAATACTATTGTTCGGTGTCTCGGCCGTTTCACGACGTCGCTATTGAAGAAGAACTGGTTGCGCCGGTGAATTTTTCAAATAGCTCCATAAATAAATTCGCGTTCACAAGATACTCGATAGTAGTCAGCCGTTTGTTACCGAACGACATTATTCCCTTCCATCATCCCCGCCTTTGTTACGCTTTTCACGCAGCTTGTTCAGCCCAGAAACGACCCCGCAGAGTTCTTCTTTACCGCGATGAGTGAAGGCGGAGGTATGCACGAAGTCCGCTAAGTGGACGTGAGAATCGGGTAAACACAGGAGCATCGACCTGCTTTTGTTGAAAATGCCGACCCTTTTGTAGCGGGCGCGTGCAATCGCTTTGCTTACTATTAAGCTTCGCTTAATTGACAGATCATAAAAAAAATTGACAGATCATAAAGAAGAAGAAGGAAAAGAAGAAACAGGAGAGAAAAAAAGAAAAGGAGATCCGAATTTTAGTCTTATTTTAGACCTGCACTTTCTAATACCTATACAGGGTGTCCCGTATCACCTTCACAATCTCTCGTGAGAACGTACAGCGGATTGAGATAAACATAAAAGTCCTATACCATTTTGCGATATTCGCAATAATAGTCGAGATATTAATTAAAAAAGATTGGTGAATGATAATGCGCGATATGGTAGATGAGCTGCAATTGCGCCATTTACCGTTGTATACTTGTACATTAAGTCAAACTGAACAAAAAAGTCCTCTACCATTTTGCAAATGACAACATAGATTTTTAGATATTAATTAAAGAAAATTTGTGCATTATGGTACATAATCATGTAACAATTTTCTTTGATTAATATCTAAAAATCTATGTTGTCATTTGCAAAATGGTAAAGGACTTTTTTGTTCAGTTTGACTTAATATACAAGTATACAATAGCAGACGGCGCAATTGCAGCTCATCTACCATATCGCGCATTACCATTCACCAATCTTTTTTAATTAATATCTCGACTATTATTGCGAATATCGCAAAATGGTATGGGACTTTTGTGTTCATCTCAATCCGCTCTACGTCCTCACGAGAGATTGTGAAGATGATACGGGACATCCTGTATATCCTGAAGGATCAGTGTATATATATACACACGGGAACTGAGATTCTATAAGCCCTCTTAAATGGCAGAAAACACATAAATGCAAGTTCTAAAGAGGATTTCTCGGCATAGTGGGTTAAACAGAATCAAAAAAGGTTGATATAAGCTTCAGTGTATCAAAAATAAGAATTAAATGCGATACTAAGGTCGAAGGTAGGATCAAAATTTCGACTCGGGAGTCTGCTCTAACCTCCTAAAATGAATTGAGAAAGCGACAAAGGCTGGCTGAACCGTCCCGGGTCCGCGTGAAAAGCACACGTGGTTGCGTCTGGTGTATATATGATGGAAGATTGAAAAACAGTGCGGATGCATCGAGGCGTGATTTGCAGACCAAACGATAAAGAAGAAAAACGGCGTAAAAGGCACGCCGCTGATCGAATCGCCGCGATATATACGGTTTTTTCCGTATTTTTGTCCGACGACAATATCGCGAATACAAATGCGTGGAATCGAAAGAATAAATATGTACGATTTGCATGTACAGAACAAATATGTATATGCAAATGCGCGACGTGAATTAATTAATTCCCATGACGTTTTAGTATCCTGTGCTCGAGACGTAAACTCGAATCCAGGGATAGAATTTAAGTCGGTATCAGGTTAATAGCGCAAACATTTCTGCCGCTGTGCGTACATTTAAAAATCGAAGAACTTACGCGACTTGAATCTAAACGTAATTATTATGCATGAGCTTTTATTTATTTTTTACGAACAAATAAATCGAACGTGTAATTTAGAGAGAGAAACCACGGAAAAAGAGTAGAGTTTAATAAATGAACATATAAGTCATTAACTATTGACGTATTGAAAATCACGCACCCTCTGGGAATTTTATTTTCGATATATATTATTTTTTATTTTCTCCGCGCACAGGGAGAGAGAGGTATTCGATTACCGCGGCATTAAAATGAAAACGCGGCTGCTCAATACCATATCACATTTTAAATCAACAAGATTTCCGCGTATAAATGCCTGTACGTGAATTTTCAATATTATTGACGAAATTTTACACACACGGAAATCCTCTTTTTCCGTACCACACGACGCAAACGTGGAAAATGTATGTAATGAGTGAAATTATAATTAATTACATTTGACTCTGACAACTTCGACAGTAAACCAGTTCCTAAATTTTACATTTTCGACGGATTTATTTTGGATGTTTTCAAATTTCACGCACAGCTCTCTCTCACAATTATGCGCTTCCTCGATGCTGTTAAATCCTTCATTAATACTGTGCAACATATTATTTGGTTTAAACTTCATTACCTTCCTAAACACAGAACAATTTAGATGTTTCATATTGTTTCACTCAAGCGGATTGAATTTATTTGCGGTTAGAGAGCGCTAGACAAATCACGCGACAACTTTGTTAAAGCGGTTTCATATTTCAATTACTGCTAATGGAAACTGATAACGTGAGCGCGGTTGACGCGAATTCACAACTCGCCGCAATAAACGTGATTTCATTTTTTTCCCCATGTCGCGACGGCCGCATGAAATATATCGAGCGAAATTATCCTCGCTGTTATTCTCAGACATTCCGCGAATACCGAGATTCCCAAACGCGACGGTCTCAAGAAGAACGACGCGAATGACGAAAGCGTGCTTCGGTGACGATATACGAACGGCTGGAATCTCGAGAGAGACGACTCGTGTCGGAATGAAAACAATGCTCGTTTCCTCCGTGCCCTGTTTCCGGCTTTTCGCGCTACGAAAAGAAAGAAAGTTTAATATCTGCCGCGGCAACTCAGGGTTTGAAGAGTTATACCGCCCGCCCCGCGGTAGAGAAAAAAATCTGAAACAACAACCGTCAAAGC